TTTTCAAAAAAAAATGTCCAAATTTCATCCCGCGCGCGCTGTCCGACTCCCACAAAACCAATGGTTTTTCAACATTTATGTTACATGAGCTCGCGCGAGCTACTTTTTCTTGTTCTAACATAATCAAATTTCAATATCCCTTGCAAAAAAAGTAAAGTGGACATTCGCGCGCGCAAGACCAACAAAAAACACGACGATCTCAGGAACTTGCCCCAAAAATGTGACCAACTCCGCTCTCTCTGTCTCTCTCTCTGTCTGCTCTCTGTCTCTCTCTCTGTCTGTCTGTGTCATGTATTGTATGTCACAATTGCAGGATGCTGGGCACACGCGCGCCCCGAATAAGTGACCAAGTTCTGTGGGTGTGTACCCCACGCCAGTGTAGTAGCCACGGTCGTCCGCACGCCACGAAGTGAAGTGTCCCAACGTCATAGGGCGGGAAGCTGGGTTTGGGTGGTCGCGAAGAGTCGTTTGGATATTTGGTAGAGCTTGAACTGCCCCCCCACGAAGTGGGGGTATTGTCTCGCGTCGCATGAAAACCCTGGCACTGGTGAGAACACTGAGCGTTCGGGTAAAATGATTGTTGTTCATTATTAAGAATAATTATTGTTGGGCCCCCTGGTGCGCGCCCCCCCCGCCGCGCCTAGGCCGCAGCCACGTTTTCATCATTTTCGTGAGGAAGCCTCAGGTAATTCGATGTCATCCAGATCCGGTTGTTTTGTTGTAATCCGTTTTCCCTTGCAAAAAACACTATAAAATGACATTTCTTGTTCTAATATAATCAAATTTCAAGAATCCCTTGCAAAAAATAAGGTAAAGTGGACATTCGCGCGCACAAGACGAAATCCTTCCAAAAGCTTAGTGTTCGGAGCGATTTTAACATAAAAACATCAAAAAACCAATGGTTCTTCAACAAAAAATGTCAAAATCTCATCCCGCGCGCTCTTGCGGATTCGTAGGAAAACCAACACTTTTTAAACATTTCTGTCAAACGGGCTTTTGCGAGCAACTTTTTCGAACTTCTGCGACAACGGTTGCGCACCTGCCAGGGCCATCATCCCTGTCAAATAATACCATCCGCGCGTGTGCCCAGCATGGCACAATTGCACCATGCTGGGCACATGCGCGCCCCGAATAAGTGACCAAGTTCTGTGGGTGTGTACCCCACGCCAGTGTAGTAGCCACGGTCGTCCGCACGCCACGAAGTGAAGTGTCCCAACGTCATAGGGCGGGAAGCTGGGTTTGGGTGGTCGCGAAGAGTCGTTTGGATATTTGGTAGAGCTTGTAATGCCCCCCCACGAAGTGGGGGTATTGCCTGGTGTCGTATGAAAACCCTGGCACTGGGGAGAACACCACGCGTTCGGGTAAAATGATTGTTGTTGTTGTTGTTGTTGTTGTTGTTGTTGTTGTTGTTGTTGTGTTGTTGTTGCTGTTGTTGTTGTTGTTGTTGTTGGTGGTGTTGGTGTTGGTGTTGTTGTTGTTGCTGCTGCTGCTACTGCTGCTGTTGTTGTTGTTGTTGTTGTTGGTGGTGGTGGTGGTGGTGTTGTTGTTGTTGTTGTTGTGGTTGTTGTTGTTGTTGTGGTTGTGGTTGTGGTTGTTGTTGTTGTTGTTGTTGTTGTTGTTGTTGTTCTTGGGGATGGGGGGGGCATCTTTCGGCTTGCGATTGGCGTCGGAACATTATCGCGATCGATGTGTTGGCTCAACTTCGACGCGTTACTGTCGCTCTGCACGTGCATACACACAGCTTTTGAGACTGGACCTGCCTAGACAGTTTCCTCTCACTCGGACTTCAGGCAGTTGGGATGGCGGCGACCAGGACTGCACCATGGATCATGTGCGTGGCGCTGCTGGTTCAGGGTGTAGCTGGCGCGGCTTCCATGATGGTGAGCGAGGGCGTCCATCGCGACAGTGACCCGTACAACGCCTCGCGCACGAGTGACAGTATGAAGGAAGTGCATGAAGTGCAGGAAGTGAGCGGCATGCCCGCGCAGCGTTCAGGTGGTATCTTACACCCTTGGAGGAGTCAGCCATTGTTGCACTTGCGGTTGGAATAGTTGGTGGACCTCGGCGACAATTACCGAGCCAATCACGGCGATCAAGATGCGTGGTTACTGGAGAGACCAGGGCTGGGGGGGCTACAAAGGCTACATCCGTGTTGTGGTGGGGCCCGAGTCGTATACCTATGGTGTGGCACCTCATCCCAGAACGGAGTTTACGTTCACCTGGATTTTGCCCGCGCCCGCGACATCTGGCAGTCAAGTAGCGGTGTCTTACAACGTTGGGTGGGGAGGCGGGCACTGTCTCTACGTCGATAATGGCGCGAACCTGGCTGTGATCACCGCGACGCCCAGCCCGACGCCCTACCCGACGCCCTACCCGACGCCCTACCCGACGCCAAACCCGACGCCGAATCCGACGCCAAACCCGACGCCCTACCCGACGCCCTACCCGACGCCCTACCCGACGCCCTACCCGACGCCGAACCCGACGCCGAACCCGACGCCCTTCCCGACGCCGAGCCCGACGCCCTACCCGACCCCCTTCCCGACGCCCTTCCCGACGCCGTTTCCAACAGCCTTTCCGACGCCCTTCCCAACGGGCTTCCCGACGCTGTTCCCGACGCCCAGTCCGACGCCCAGCCCGACGTATCTTCTGGGCTGGCCGACGCCACATCCGACGTTTCCTTCCGGAGCTCCCGTGGCGGGTGGAGCTGGCGCAGGCGTGGCTGCTACTGGCGACCCCCACCTTCAAAACGTTCTTGGTCAGCGGTTCGACTTGATGAAACCGGGAAAGCATGTTCTGATTAACGTCCCCCGTGGAAGGCGTTACAATGCAATGCTTCGCGTAGAGGCTGAGGCGCGTCAATTTGGAGGGCAGTGCGCAGACATGTACTTCCACGAGCTGAATATCACGGGTGCGTGGGTGGAGGCGAAGGGAACCGAAGGTCTCCGTTTCCAAGCTGAGGGTGCGCGCGACGAGCATCCGCAGTGGTTAAAGTTTGGGGTCATTGAACTCAAAGTAGCCCATGGGCACACTGAGCAGGGCGCCTTGTACTTGAACTTTTACGTCAAGCACCTTGGGCGCAGTGGGTTTGCCGTCGGAGGGTTGCTTGGAGAGGATGATCACACTGAGGCATCGATGCCTTCGAAGGCATGTGCTCACCGCACTGTCCTTTAGAGGCAGTCTTAGAATGAAGACATGCGCGGGATGAGGGCAACCAATGTGCAGCTGTTCTCACACTGGGAAGAAGCATGCAGCGGCCCGTGTGCGCAAACAACATTCCTGTTTCTACCATGAGAAAAACCGCGATCTGTATGTCTGGCGATCTCGATATCTCGGTATCTATCCACCTCCCTACCTATCGGTCTCACTGTGTGTCCATCGACTCGACTACCCTACCAAAATATGTATTGATCTCCTGGCACCCGACGATGCCACCATGAAGCTCTACCTCGATCCCACTGGATGGATGCTCATTCCGCGCTTGATCGATCTATACATGGATGTACAGATTCGAGTGTGTGTGTATGGGCAGCCAGGGCTCTCGCGGGGGCCTGAAGACTACCGCGCCTCGCTCGTCGCGGTCCGGGCCGGAGCGGTTGCCCGTCTCAGAGTGGGCGGCGCGAGAGTGCGATGGCGATGCGCGCGTTGCAAGCTGCTGTTCGGGATGTTCTCGGGTGTTTGCTGCTCGTTGCTGTTGTTGGTGGTTGTTCGGGTGAGAGTGCGGCCTCGGGCGCGCGCCCGCTGCGCGCGACTCCCTGGAGGGGTCTGGGAGGCCTCTTGGGGCCATCTTGGCCCCCATGAATCAAACACAGAGGGGGGAGGATTCAGGTCACCCCCTGGGAGGCTCGCAAATGGCGTCTTGAGGCCCTCTTGGGCCGCTCTTGGGGCGCTCTTGGGCGCCCTCGGGGCACTCTTGGGGCCCTCTTGGGCCCCTCTGGAGGCTCTCTGGGGCCGTCTGGGGGCCATCGTCAGGCCTCAAGAGTCCATCGGAAGCGAAAATGCAAGAAGGCAACACAACAGTGAATGTCCTACTTGGTGGAGTCTGTCGAAGGCTCGGAAGGCACTTGAAACCGTCTTGGGGCCGTCGTGAGGCCTCGTGGATGCTACCTTGAGCCACCTTGAGGTAGCTTGAGCCATCTTGGAGGCCACCTTGCGCTCTCTGAGGCCCTGTTGGAGGCATGTTGGGCGATCCTGGGCGCTCCAACCCCTCGCGGGGCGCCCCGTCCAGCCCCGGGGGTAAGCCCTTCCCCCGAGCATGGGAAGGACGGGTTCTGCACGTGCATACACACAATAGCTTTTGAGACTGTGCCAGTTTCCTCTCACTCGGACTTCAGGCAGCTGGGATTGCGGCGACCAGGACTGCACCATGGATCATGTGCGTGGCGCTGCTGGTTCATGGTGTAGCTGGCGCGGCTTCCATGATGGTGAGCGAGGGCGTCCATCGCGACAGCGACCCGTACAACGCCTCGCGCACGAGTGACAGTATGAAGGAAGTGCATGAAGTGCAGGAAGTGAGCAGGATGCCCGCGCAGCGTTCAGCGGGTTACCTATCTTACACCCTTGGAGGAGTCAGCCATTGTTGCACTTGCATTGGTGGACCTCGGCGACAATTACCGAGCCAGTCACGGCGATCAAGATGAGTGGCTACTGGAGACCAGGCTGGGGGGGCTACAAAGGCTACATCCGTGTTGAAGTGGTGCCCGAGTCGTATACCTATGGTGCGGCACCTCATTCCAGAACGAGTTTTTCGTTCACCTGGACTTTGCCCGCGCCCGCGACATTTGGCAGTCAAGTATTGCTCTACTACCATGTTGGGTGGGGAGGCGGGCACTGTCTTTACGTCGATAATGGCGCGAACCTGGCTGTGGTCACTGCGACGACCAGCCCGACGCCCTACCCGATGCCGAACCCGATGCCGAACCCGACGCCCTACCCGACCCCCTTCCCGACGCCGAGCCCGACGCCGAGCCCGACGCCCTACCCGACCCCCTTCCCGACAGCTTTTCCGACGCCTTTCCCGACGCCCTTCCCGACGCCGTTCCCGACGCCGTTTCCGACAGCCTTCCCGACGCCCTTCCCAACGGGCTTCCCGACGCCGTTCCCGACGCCCAGTCCGACGCCCAGCCCGACGTATCCTCTGGGCTGGCCGACGCCACATCCGACGTTTCCTTCCGGAGCTCCCGTGGCGGGTGGAGCTGGCGCAGGCGTGGCTGCTACTGGCGACCCCCACCTTCAAAACGTTCTTAGTCAGCGGTTCGACTTGATGAAACCGTGAAAGCATGTTCTGATTAACGTCCCCCGTGGAAGGCGTTACAATGCAATGCTTCGCGTAGAGGCTGAGGCGTGTCAATTTGGAGGGCAGTGCGCAGACATGTATTGCCACGAGCTGAATATCACGGGTGCGTGGGTGGAGGCGAAGGGAACCGAAGGTCTCCGTTTCCAAGCTGAGGGTGCGCGCGACGAGCATCCGCAGTGGTTACAGTCTGGGGTCATTGAACTCAAAGTATTCCATGGGTGCATTGAGCAGGGCGCCTTGTACTTGAACTTTCACGTCAAGCACCTTGGGCGCGGTGGGTTTGCCGTCGGAGGGTTGCTAGGAGAGGATGAACACACCGAGGCATCGATGCCTTCGAAGGCATGTGCTCACCGCACTGTCCTTTAGAGGCAATCTTAGAATGACGACATTCGTGCGGGATGAGGGCAATCAATGCTCAGCTCTTCTCACACTGGACAGAAGCATGCAGCGGCGCGTGATTGCAAACGATGTTTCTGCTTCTACCATGAGAAACTTGCGATCTATACGTCTGGCGATCTACATGTCTCGGTGTCCATCGAAATCCTAACCTATCGGTCTCATTGTCTGTCCTTGCACTCGACCACCCTACAAAAACATCGCTCGACCTCCTGGCACCCGACAATCTCACTATGAAGCTCTACCTCGATCCCACTGGATGGATGTTCATTCCACGTTTAATCGATCTGTACATGGATGTACACACTCGTGTGTGTCTGCATGGACAGCCAGGGCGCTCGCGGGGGCCTGAAGACTATCGCGCCTCGCTCGTCGTGGTCTGGGCCACAGCCGGTGCCCGACTCCAAGTGGGCGGCGCGAGAGTGCGCTGGCGCAAAAGTAGTCGTTCGTCTCGCGTGGCGGGGCGCGTTGCGCGAAGTCAGGTGGCCTAGGATACAGTGCCCTTTTTAATACATGCTCCGCGTGCGGATCATGTATTAAGATTAAGGGATTTAGTAGTATTAAAAACAGCGATGAGGTCATGCCCAAATTTATCCATAAATTCATCATGTATTAGAAATCCAATGTTTTTTTAACATCCCATGTGTTAAAACCTGCCCTGTACGCAGGAAGGCAGGATCCGGAAGTGAAGGGGCCACTTCGAGCTCGCGAGGGGCCCCCGGTCGTCGGGCCCCTCCTCGGATCCAGAGCGGGGAGCCCCTCTCAGCGCCGAGGCCCGCCGTGGCAAGACGAGCCCCTCCGTTCCCCATCTCGGCTCTCCCTGTGGAGACACGATGGATGCAGCATACAGTTTTTTTGGTCGGCGGGGCGAGAGCGAACCTCTTCCGCTAAAAGCTAGGCGGGCTACGCGCAGCTTTAATTGAGGAGACGGGGCGCGGGAAGGCGGGGCCTCAGGCGGCCGGAGCAGGTTGAGCCCGGGGTGCAGGCGGAGCACGGATGTAGCATACAGTCGGGGCGCTGAAGAAGGAGCCCTTTTCGTTGGGGAGGGGCTCGGTGTTCCTTGCTCGTTTAACAGTTTGCCTCGGGTCTTCCTGAGGTTTTCCATGGGGCATCGAAGCTTAAATCATGAGGAAAAGGCGCCTCGTTCCTCATTTAGGGCTCCTAGAAGTCAACGCCCCGACCGGAAGCGGCTCGGCAGTTTTTGTTGCCTGGGTCCATTTCCGGTGGCCCCTGCGCCCGAACGCGTGCCCCTGAGGCCGAAATTGAAGAACAGCGCCCGGATTGGACAATGCCGTATTCGGCTGGAGATTTGAATGATGTTGGCCGGAGCGAAGTATGTCACCGTGTCACCATCGACCAGGCCACCCCAACCCAGCCAGAAGGCCTCCATCTGCCTTCCACTTCAGGTGGGAGGGGGGTCGAGGGAGCATGGACAGAACACGCATGGGGCCCGTACAGTCGGGGCCCTGAAGAAGGAACCCTTTTCGTTGGGGAGGGGCTCCGCGTTCCTTCAGTGTTTCACAGCTTGCCTCAGGTGTTCCGTATGTTTTCGATAGGAGATCGAAGTTTAACTTATGGAAAACACGGGCCTCGTTCCTTATTTAGGGTTCCTTAGGTCAACGCCCCGACTGCACCCGCCTCGACCCGAAGTCGGCTAGCCGGTCGATTTGCCCCCGGAGGTGAAGGACCTCGAGTTGTGCGAGGCCCCGTGAGAGAGCCGCGCCGCCCGCCGTGCCGGCCGCGGGGGGGCGCGCGGGCGGCTACGGGGCCGGGCCGGGCCCCCGCTGCCCCCGCCGTTGCGCGGCCATCGTCGTCGCCGTGGTCGGTCGTTGGGCGTCGTCGGTGGTCGTCGTAGATTTGTCGATGGCCGTCGTGGTTCCGTGATTTTTCGTTCGAAGCCGTCGTCGTCGTCGACGTCGTCCGTCGTCCGTCGTCCGTCGTCCGTCGTCGTCGTCGTCGTCCGTCGTCCGTCGTCTGTCGTCCGTCGTCGTCGTCGTCGTCGTCGTCGTCGTCGTCGTCGTCGTCGTCGTCGTCCTCGTATTTGTCGTCTGCCGTCCGTCGTCTGGTGTCGGGCGTCGAGTGTCGATCGTAGGGCGTCGTCTGTCGTCCATCGGCCCTCGCTGGGCCAGCCGTCAGAGGCCCGAAGCGCTCGGAAACGTCCCAGAGCCGCGGTCCTCGATCTCCCTTCTCGGGTTATGATGTTTCAACCGGCTTTCGCCAGACTCACCCGAAATAATTTCGAGCACCAAGAACGCACAGAACCAAGAACGCACAAGTGTCTCCCAGGTCCCGCGTGTCGGGACCTGGGAGACACTTGTTCAACACTGCTTCGACACTTTTCCGGGTGCTCGAGACCATTTCTGGGCTGTGGTCTCTGTGTACGATGGGAGCAACATGCTCCTCGGGCACCATCCGCGGCACGCGCCGCGGGTCTGCGTGTACGCGCCGCGGCCGCACGGCCGCACTGGTCTCTCGCGGGGGGCACTCTTGGGGAGCCGTCCCGCTGAGGCCGCGAGACGCTCGCCAGGATCGCCAGGGGCAGTTCGGGATGCAACTCTTGGGAGATTGAATTGGGCATCGGTGCTGGTTTGTCCGTGGTTCTGGCCTCATGCGGCACACTCCCGGCCTGATCCCGGGCTCAAGTTGGCCCAATCCTGCTTCATGGCAGTTTGTTTGAGCTTCAGTAGCTTTTTTACTTGTTCTGACGAAGACTGCCCAGAAACTGCCTCCTAAGCTAAACCCAGCAGAGCACATGAAAAGCAATGAACGGCAATGGATAGCACTTACTGTTTTGGCACGTCACGTGAGCGAATACGACGAACATTGGAACTTCTCAGGGCTGCGGTACATTCCGCTGGACGTGCTCCGGCGCGACGAAGGCGGCTCGCTCGCTCTCTTGCTAAACCAAGATTTCCGACGACGTGTATTTTTTCATGCCAGGCGTTTCTTCTCAATGGCGGCCTCTGGGCATCTGGGCGGTTTTCGAAGGTTTCGAAGGTTGGGGGAAGTTTGCAGAGCGTTTCGTGGCCCGGGGTGGTTTCTATCAGCTGCGCCTCGTCGCGTTCCATTCGGATGCCGGATATTTGATTGACCGTTAGGCTTTTCAGTATTTGCGACGTTTCGTCGTACGCAGACGCAGCGCATCGCACGGCATTGCATCCTAGAGCATTGCATCGCATAGCATGGCATAGGTGTGCATAGTCTGTATTCCATAGTGTTGCATAGCAATGCATACCGTAACGTTGGAGACATGTTTCCCTAACATCCTTTCGTATTGGGTCCTCGGTTTGACGAGACAGCGCCCCGCGTTCTCCTTCACCTCCTACTGCTGCCCCCCCCATCCCGTCCCTGCTCTTACCCTCCATATGTCACTGTTTCGGCACACCCCTCACACGTTTCGTGGCCCCACAGCACCGAAGGCCCCAGTGGCAGCGCCCGCATGCAGTTCCACCCTCCATGTCGGCTACCCCCTCGTGTTTTCGTGGCCCCATCGGGAGCTCCACCGAAGACCCCAGTGGCAGCGCCGCTTGCGGTTCCACCATGCATGTCGGCGAACTCCTCACACGTTTAGTGGCCCCATAAGGAAATCCACCGAAGGCACCAGTTGCAGCGCTCTCATGCGGTTCCACCCCCATTTCGGTTCACCCCTCACACGGTTCCTGGCCCCATATGTTGCTCCATCGAAGGCCAAAGTGGCAGCGCCCGCATGCGGTTCGCCCATTTCCCCCCTTTTCGGCAAACCTCTCATACGTTCGGTGGCCCCATGGGGTGCTTCACCGAAGGCCCAAATGGCCCCTGTTGCTTGCCCCCCTCTTTCATTTCATTTCCGTCGCGATGCTCGAAGGCCCCAGTGGCAGCGCCCGCATGGCGGCCCCCCCCATTTCGGCACACCCTTCACGCGCTTCGTGGCCCCGTAAGGAGATCCACCGAAGGCGATACTCACAACGACGGTACTCATAGCTGCATCTGGTTGGGTCCTTCGCCAGACTTGCTTTCCTAGTTTTCCTCCACTTCTGGGAGGCTGAAGTTTTTACCAACCATCCTGTGGTGTTGGGCCCTCGTTTTGAAGAAACAGCGCCCCGCGTCTCCCACGTCTCCTCCTCCCCCTCCCTGCCTCCCCTCCCTCCTCCCATCCTTGCTTCTGTCCTCCGCATGTTTCTGTTTCGGCACACCCCTCACATGTTTCGTGGCCCCATAGGGGACTCCACCTGAGGCCCCAGTGGGAGGGTTCCCATGGCACCGCCGCCCGATTTCGGTATACCCCTCACGGTTCGTGGCCCCGTGGGGGCTGCATTTGAGGCCCCAGTGGCAGGGTTCGCATGGCACCGCCGCCCCACTTCGGCACACCCTTCACACGTTTCGTGGTCCAATGCGGAGCTCCACCGAAGGCCCCGGTGGCAGGGTTCGCATGGCACCGCCGCCCGAAGTCGGCACACCCCTCGCACGTTTCGCGGCCCCACAGGGGGCTCCGACTAGGGCCCCACTGCGAGGGTTTGCGTGGCACCGCCGCCCTATTTCGGCACACCGCTCGCACGTTTCGTGGCCCCATAGAGAGCTCCACCTGAGGCCTTCCGTTGTGAGGGCTCGCATGGCACCGCCGCCCCATTTCGGCACACTCCCCACACGTTTCGTGGCCCCATAGGGAGCTCAACCTCAGGCCCCAGTGGAAGGGCTTGCATGGCCTGTCGCCTCATTTCGGAACACCCCTTACACGCATCGCCGCGGCACACCCTTCCCACGCTTCGTGGCCCCACGAGGAGATCCACCGAAGGCGTTTCTCACAACGACGATACTCACAACTGCATATGGCTGTGTCCTTCGCCAGGGTAATGCTCCTATACTGTGATGTGCAGGGCAGGTTCTCTTCCCAACCATCATGTGGTGCTGGGTCTTCGTTTTGACGAGACAGCGCTCCGCGTCTCCTTTTCTTCCTCCTCCCCCTCCGCCAACTCCCATCCCTGCCTCGCCCTCCGCATGCTTGCATTTCGGCACACAATGCAACGCTTTGTGGCCTCATATGGAGCTCCACCTGAGGCCCGTGTACCCGTAAGGAGATCAGCCAACGGCCGCAGTGGCAGGGTCCACATTGCGGTACCGCCTCATTTTCGCGCACCCCTCACACGGTTCGTAGCCCCAGACGGAGTTCCACCAACGGCCCCAGTAGCCCAGTCCACATGGCGGCGGAGCACAATATTGGCGTATTCTTCAAATGTTTGGTGACGGCGCCGCCCCATTGTGGCGCACTCTTCGAACGGTTCGTTGCCCCATAAGAAGTTCCACCCACGGCCCTATTGGCAGGGTCCACATGGTGGTGCCGCCCCATGTTGGCGCACCTCTCACACGATTCGTGGTTCTGTAAGGAGATCCGCCGACGGCCCCAGAGGCAGGGTCCGCATGGCGCCGCCGTCCCATTTTGACGCACACTTCACACGTTTCGTAGCCCCATGGGAGTTCCACCGAAGGCCCCAGTAGCAGGGGCCACATGGCGGCGCCGCCTCATTTTGGCGCACCATTCACGCATTTGGTGGCCACATAATGGGAGCTCCACCGAAGGCCACGGTGGCAGGGTCCACAAGGCGGCGCACAATTTAGGCCACATGGCGGCGCCGCACCATTTAGGCGCATCCCTCGCTCGAGTCGTTGCACCATACGGATTTTAGTTAGAGGCCCCAGGTTCGTGGCCCCAGTATTTGCTCCACCGAAGGCCCCAGTGGAGGGGTTCGCATTGTGGTGCCGCCCCAATTCTAGCGCAACATCGCGCGGTTCGTGGCCCCATACGGGGGTTCCCCCGAACGCGGTGTCACAACAGTGTCTTCACAATTCTTTACGCTTCGCGTATCCCCACCAGCCCATCTCACAACAGCAACTCTTGCGAAGCATGCCGACAGTCGTGTTTTTCAGGCGTGTGTCCGCTTGCCCCCGCATATCTCCCCTGTTCCTCCTTCCTCCCGCCTCCTTGTACATCCTCCTTGTGGGGGGAGCGGGAGAAGGACGAGGCGGAGGAGGAGGGAGAGAAAGCGCTCCTCGTGGTTTGAGTCGTTTGGGGTTTCTCGTCCTGGTGTGAGTCGTTCGGGCCCTTCTTCCTGGTGTGAGTCGTTCGGGCTCTTCGTGGTGTGAGTCGTTCGGGCTCTTCGTCCTGGTGTGAGTCGTTCGGGCTTCTCGTGGTGTGAGTTGTTCGGGCCCCTCGTCCTGGTGTGAGTCGTTCGGGCCCCTCCTCCTGCCCGTCCAGAAACGACGCCCAGGCGAGTAGAGGGTCGTCCTGATGGGCTTTTCGGCGTCTTGGGTGCCTCGGGGGGGCCTCTTTGGGCCGTTTGGGATCCTCTTGGGGGCCTCCTGGGGGCCTCTTGGGGCCATCTTGGGGCCTCTTGGTGCCTCCTGGGCGCTTCTTGGGGCCATCTTGGAGGAAATCGATAGAAGAAGAGGGGAGCTTTAATTAGCGCTGCCCCCTCAGAAGGCCCAAATGGGGCCAAAACCTTAGTAAAATCAATGATTTTGGTGTGAAAGAAGAGGGGAGCTTTAATTAGCGCTGCCCCCTCAGAAGGCCAAAATGGGGCCAAAACCGTAGTAAAATCAATGATTCTGGCTTCAAAGAAGAGGGGAGCACTTTTCTGCCTCCCCCCGTCGGGGCCAGAATCCTCGTGAGGGGTGTCGTTTTTTAGCCCTCCCAGGAGTCGAAAAAGACCCCTCCAACGACCCGCGGGGCGCCCTCTCC